GAGGAGCTTTATTTTTTGGACTCTAACTCTCATTCGCCCCAGTCAGCATTGCCATCGGTCAGTGACGATGGGAGTTTCACTCTGTCAGGACCTAGAGGGCCATATCTCTAGGGACACAGGGCACCACCTTTGAGTTAAAACAGCCTTAGCATTACAGAACAAGGGTTCTCAACCTTGGGTTCCCGTATGTTAGGTAAAGGTTCCCCTTGACATTTAGTCCAGTCGTGTGCAACTCTAGGGCGCAGTGCTCATCCCTATTTCAAACCCATAGAGCTAGTGTCTTGTCTGTAGACAGTTTCCATGGTCACATGGCCAGTGTGACTAGACACGGAACGCCGTGACCTTCCCACTATGGAGGCACCTATTTATCTACTTGCATTTGCATGCTTTCGAACCTCTAGGTTGGCGGGAGCTGGGACAAGCGACGGGAGCTCACTCCATCACGTGGATTCGATCTTACGACTGCTGATCTTCTGACCCTGCAGCACAGGCTTCTGTGGTTTAACCCGCAGCGCCACCAAGGCCCTTAAATAGCCCCAAAACAGATGAAACTGAGGTTTTTGTGTGTTTTTTTAAAGCCATCTTATGAGACCAGCCTATATGTTGCTGATTAGATTAGGCATCCTTCAGTCTCGAGAGACTATGGTAACGTGCTCTGTATGGAGGACTTGGAACAGCGTCTAGTATGGCTGAGAAGGCCAATTCGACTGAAATTTTGTTGGGCTCAGCCATGGAATTCTTGTCAGGCTGACTTACAACAGCTCTCAACGTTCAATACTGTAGATGGCAGCACAACACCAGCCTCAATAATGGGGCTGCAAAATGTGGGTATGTTCACTTTCCTAAATATATTTTCCTAACCACTTGCTTTTCCTTCCTCCATATGACCAAACATGCATTCTGCTACCCTGTTTCCCCATAAAATAAGCCCCAGTGAAGTGAAACCCCACCCCCACCCTTGTGCAGCAACCAGAAGTAGATGACATGACTGTATTTGAATAAATATAGATTGTTGTACATGAACAAAAGCAACACGTTCCTTGAAAATAACCCCTAATGTGTTTTTTGGTGCTAAAATTAATATAAGACCCTGTCTTATTTTCGGGGAAACACGATGCTAACAAACTACATTTGGTATATTTAAATGCCAGACACAACCCTCCCTGGAAACTCAAGCCCCTGATCCTAGTTGGCTGTGGAATAAAAGTCAGAGGGACAAATTGATACCTGGCTGTGGGCAGGAGCCCTATTCTTACTGCACACACCTTGTTTCCCAGGTGGGGGACGGAAGCCTGCCAGGATTCCTCGGGAGGTGTATCAACCCCTCCTACAACTCCTTCTATAACCTCAAATGGCTTTAGCGAAAACCCTGCTCCAAACCAACAAAGCCTGGTTAAATGGCAAAGGAACTTGGAAGATAGTTCTGTCTGGCTAATAGAAAGAACAGATGCTAAAAGCCACAAAAATGCCATGGAGTCTGAGATCACAGAGGGTGTCCACACATTTGACCCACTGCTGGTGTGCTGATGGGTTGGGTTGGTCTGCTCTTTTTCCCCAGTGTCCACAAGTGGATGTTGCTGGAATGGAGCAATTTGCCACAACCTGCACCTTTTTGAACCGCCGGCTACTATTTTGGTGCAGGTTGGAGGATTCCAGGTTAGTTCACTCCCAGCAAGTGGGGTCACTTGGAATGGACTAAATTAGAGTTTTGTGACTCTTCCAGTGTCAATTTCTGATATTCTGAAGTGGCTTGAGAGCAATTTCATGATATTGGAAATGGAACCCTTCATCTAACCTTCTGCAGAGTGTCAGGGAAAGTGCTCTTTTTTTAAAAGGTTTGCTAGATCATCACTGATGTGATGAATCACCTTATTTAAAATTAGAAAACTTTTTTTCCCTTTGACTGTATATTGCTATCGAAACTGCGGCTGCAGGCAGTTTCTTGATCTGTGAAAAAACCAGACACACAAAGAAAAAACAATTAATTTAATTTAAATAAAGTGATTTTTCCCATCATCAGAGCACATGTAAAAATTAATAACTTCAGGGGAAGTGCTTAATTGACAGCAGATAGAGCTACAAAGGGTCATTTGCTGTTTGAATGAAAAGAGTGAACCAAATGGCACATCTCTCTTCCTCCTGACCTCAGCTGGCCCGTTGTAGTCCGATCCAACCCACACCAAAATGGCCAGTCTGGACAGGCCAACAATCTGGTGTCTCATAGGGTCTAGCAGCAATAAAAAAAAAGTGTATGTATGTGTGAGAGTGAGAATGCATAAGAGCAAAGAATGTATGGAAGCTCTTTTGTCAATATACCTGTAGAGATTTATCTTTCTGTTGACATTTTTTTATTTGGATAAAACATTTCTAACATTCTCTGGTGTCTGTACCTAGTATTTTCATCCCTGGTTCTAACACTAACCATATCACCTTGAATTATACTTCCTGGCGTCTCATTAGATCTCTACCTGGGATGTTTAAAAGGATTTAGAAGCGCCATCAGAAGAGAAAAAAGGTGTTGTGTTTTTTCCATTCAACCATTAACTATCATGGAATACGGTTATGCCTACAGAAGATGTTCCCAGTCTGATGCATCCTTAGATTCACGCTTACCTGCAGATGCTTTTCAGTTCATTTCTTCTCACGTAATTTTTACTTTTGAGATTTTGCTTGCTCCGAGCCTTTGGGCTTTAGTTTGCCTTGATTCTGAGAGAAGCTTCCGTTTTTACAATGGGTTACTCAGGCTGCTCCTTCTAAGAGAGTCTGCATCCCTTGTTTTCTTTTATTTATCACACACACACAATTTTAGTTTAAATTCTTCCTCCCTCTTTTCCCACCTGGATTCTTCTGGATCAATTCTCCTGCACGTTCACCTGAGTTCAACAACTAGGGTGTCAAAGCGGTCTACTTGACCCCAAACACAGCATCTCTAATTCAGACTCAAGATCCAGGGAGTCATGAGAAGCTTTAAGGCTCATTATACAAGGTACTTCTCATGAGAAGAGAAGACTCCCTAGAAAAGATCCTGATGTTGTGAAAATGTGAAGGCAAGAGGAGAAGGGGACGACAGAGGACGAGATAGTTGGACAGGGTCATCAAGGCGACCAACATGAATTTGACCCAACTCCGGGGGGCAGTGGAAGACAGGAGGGCCTCTTGTGCTCTGGTCCATGGGAGTCACAAAGAATCGCACATGACTTAAAGACTAAACAACAAGGTATTCTATGGCAAGGACTATACTATGGAAGAGAACCTCAAGAGAGACAGAATTATTCTATATGCGTATCTCTGTGTTAATCAACTGATTATGCTTTGTAGTTATGTTTTTTTGGGGGGAGGCATAAGAATTATACATGGATTTTGAACTACATGGGGGCCTGGCACACCTAACCCCAGGGTCTTGTGGAAAGGAGAAGTGTATATAGAAAGAGTGATGTGAATGTCGAAGTGTCAAAAATAGATCTGATGAAAAGCACACTTTAAAAGTGAAAAGACAATTTTATTCCTTCATTTTTATATACTTGCTGCTAACAAAAGCATAAACAACAAGAACCACAATTGAGTATCGATCACATTTTGATTCTTATTCACATTTCAGGAGCATTTTTTAAAAACCAACAGATATTTGAAAATGTAATTTTAGAAGAGGTAGCCGTAGTCAGTCTGCGCTAGCCTGTCAGGTCAAAAACAAAGGAAAAATAAAATCTAAAGAAGAGAAAAATATTGTGGCGCCTTAAAGGATTGACTGATATATTTTAAGGAGAGCTTCCGTGGACAATTCCACTTGCTCAGAAAACGCAAGTTGCCTAGAGTACAAATGGGATGAATATTTATTTCCTACACCAAAAGGGACTAAACAGATTATTGCACACCAGCTTGAATCTAGATTTTAAGCCCTTTGTGCCCTAGAAAGCAAAGGGCTGACTTACTAAGGTGAGTTCTAAACAAGCTGAACAGCCAGGGTCCCCAAGCAAGGAATTCTGTGATAGAAAGGACAGAGCTATGTTTTACAACGCTGATGGTCAACTTGGTTTCAGACTGCACTTAGGGGTTGTTATGATTTCACGCTGAGCTAAGGGAATTGGAGGGGGTTTCCAACCCCTATTCCTCACTCTTAGCTTCCCTTTGAAACCTCTGTACTTCCATCAACTTTTCTTCTAGCCAAGAGGGAGGGTCCTATCGTTAGGCAAAGTCAGCTGGCAGAATTCTGCCCTCCACCTGAGTTGAAGAAAGATTCAGTTGCCACTCCAGCAAGCTTATAGACAGGAGGGCCAGCCGGCCAATTCATTACTTGCAAAGTAAGATGAAGAAGAAAAGCCTAAAGAGAGGGGAAATACTTCTAGTTCTAATTTTAAAAGACCACTTTGTTTTGTTTTTGCTTTTAAAAAATGGGAGGTTTGTTCTAAATGAGATATGTTCCATTGAGAAACACAATTTCCTGTTTTGCTTTGCAATTTTGTTAAGTATTTTTTTTTCTCCCCAAAACTTTTCGGAGGCACATGGAGCCTGTGAGCCATGATTCCTATCTCTGCTCAAGGGCTACAAGGGAACCGAGAAGGTGTTAAGGGGCTACTTCTGAAATCAAATTTTACATCCGGCAAAAATTTTTGGCAGTCCTGCTTCCTGAAAAACTTTGGGCCAAACAACCTGAGCTGCAAAGATTAGGAAGAGAAGGAAGGAAGGAAGGAAGGAAGGAATGAAGGAAGGAAGGAGCTGATGAATAGAAGGAAGGAGCTGATGATGAATGGAAGGAAGGAAGGAGCTGATGATGAATAGAAAGAAGGAATAACGAAAGGGATTAGAGGAAAAGAAAATAAGATTTATTTATTTACTTGATTGATTGATTTGATCTGGTGGGATATTTGGGATTCTTATTTATCATCTACAGTATTTGTAAGGCACTTGGAGTCATGCTCTGCACAAAGACAGCGGTATACAAATCTATGAAGCAAGCAGAATACAAATCTACTAAATAAAAATTTAAAAAACAATGCTTCTAGAATCTTAGAAATGAGTAGGATGGCCTATAAGGCCATCAGTTCAAGGAGCAATTCCAGAACTTCACATTTGGAACTTGCAGATATTCACATTTGAAACTTGTGCATCATCTCATGCTTTGCTTTCCAGAAATATCTCGAGCCTTAGTTCATTTCAAGAGGATCTTTCATTCCTGCAGGAAAAATAACATGTAGAGCAAAAGTAGGTAATAGAGAAAAAGGAGCAGCAGGAGATGTCAATTGCCATCACTTAACCTAAACTGAATCCCTGTGAATGCAGGCCTATAAAATGCACCACCCAGCAAACTAAATGGAGATGACCAGAAAAATGACAAACCTACGGTACTCTTTTGCTGTGTTTACCATATATTCTTTTAAAAAAACTGATTTAAATGAGAAATTTCCTCCTCGGAACCAAAGCAGATGTTTGCCCTAAATCTGTTATTTGTCCCTAACTCCTTGGTCTCCAAGGGAAGGGACAGAAAAGCAGTGGGGATGTGATGGTCGCTGTATCATTGTCCTGGCTGCATGGAGAAGAATGCTTTAAGGGGACTGTCTTGCTCTGATAATCACATCACATTTTAAAGTAAGGGTGTATTTCTTCTTCTTACACCACTGTCCCCCCAGAAACACAAATCTTTCAGTGCTAAGTGCCCAAGATATCAGACATGCCAAAAAAAAATCACAAGAGTGTGCTATCTCCCAATTCCAAAACCAAGCCAGGATAATTGCTCAATGCAGATTGATGGCCTGGGTTGGAATTGGAGGGTCAGAGATTTCCTGCCCAATGGTAGCAGGTGATGGCTCCAGTTTCGGAGCTGCTATGAACCCACTCTGAGTGAACCCTTTGAAGGAGCTGTTCAAGGTACTAAATGCTATGCCAAAATAGGTTCAGCACCATGGAGAACTCCCATAAAGACCACACTCAAACTTAAGAGCAGTGGTTCCCAAACATTTTGGCCTCACAACTCCCTTCATTTTCTGACCACTGGCCACGGCTCCCCTGGCTCGGAGGGGCCATCAGGGCTCTCTATCCTATGAAGAGCTTGATCTTGACACATACGCACACACACACACACACATCAAATATCTCATCCCCACCCCCTCCCAAGGGGGAGGTAGGCTCCCAAGGGCCTAACTCCTTCCATGTTCTGACCCAGAAAACTCCCAAGGCTACCCAGCAAGCACTTCCATTGAGGACCATAAAGATAGGGAAAGGAGAGGAAGGCACATCGCCTCCACTTCCGGTTCCTGTTAGACATAGAGCTATGAAAGCTAGCTTGTGATAGAGCTATGAACAGCATCTGTACATCCTTCACAGCTCTATGTTCCATCCCTTTTCCCATGGCACCCCTGTCTGAGTTTCACAGCACCCCGTGGAGCACCCAGTTTGGAAGCCCCTGACCTGCCGTGATTCACAGGATCTGCCACTGCCAAAACTGGAGACGCCAGCTGCCACTGTCCTAACCCTTAAAGGATGCAACTGGACAGGGAGGCTGTCGCAGATAGATTCAAGTTGATTTAAAGCCCCTATGGCAGTTAAATTGCTCTTCTCATTCACAAGAACTGTTTCATTTTCACAGATAATGTAAGGGGCAACAGTCCACATCGCACTTCAAACTAATACAATACTCACTGGGATCACAAGTTTTCCACCCTCTTCTTTCCTTAGCATCACCCAATCAAGATTATTTTTTCAAAAAAAAAAATCAGTGACATAGTGCTGAGTTGACAGAACAGCTTCTTAAACTGCACTGCTTATCTGACATAGTGCTAAACTGGACAAGCATAATTTTAAAAACTGTTTAGAGAAGAGATGGGAGATGCTCCCTTGAGTGGGATGTTCTGGCTGTACTGGTATACCTTTCAGTGCAACATAATATGCCCGTTCTAGGGGGAGCCTCATTTTTTCTCTGTATTTTTTTAATTGTGCTTTTCTAATTCATTTTACACGTTCTTAAATCAATTCAGCCAAACTGTCACTTGAATGTTAAAAAAGAGACACTCCACTGTCAACATTCTTCTTGGACATATCCATCGCTTTGAATTGGTACAGACAATCATGCATGCCATAAATTTAAAGGAAAAGCGCTGAAAGCAGGATCACTTCAGAAAAAAAGGTATCAGCACTCACTGACTGAATAAAAAGCAAGGGTGTGTTTATTTGTGATTAGCTTTAGTTGTGCCTTTGATGAGAAATACATTGAATTTCCATGCGCGAACTGGTGGTAGCTGGGCATGCTAGACAGACCAGTGTTTGATTCAAATATAAGAAGCAAAGGAAAAAGGTATTGATGAATTTACCTTTCGTGCAGCATCCGCAGCAAATTCTGCACCCATCTAGCCGTCGGAGAAACACATACTTTGGCTCCATCCTTTAGCGTGATTCTGTAAAACAAGAACATTTGAAGAAGTCATGGTTTCCAAGCCAGCTAAGTTAGCACAGACTAAACTAAGAAACTCAAGAATAATTGCTGGGAAAGGCTGTTTTGATGAGGTGGACGACATGTCTGGTTTGGGGTGTTACAGGTCCTGATTTCCCACCCTACACAAATATGAACTGCTTCCAGGATCATGCAGTACCTGTGAGGCCCCAACAAACTCTACCGTATTCAAAAGAGTTAATACAGTACTCTGACTAGTCTTAATAAGCTTGAGAATTTATTTTCTTTCATTGTTCATAACTGATGAGTTAAGCAACGGAACTGATCCCATACTCTACTACGTTACCCCCACATAACCGCTAGTTTAGGAGTAACAAATAAATATTACTCATGCCCACGAGTTATAAATCTCTTCCCGGTCTATCTTTTAAAAGATTAAAAACATCATTCATGTCATTACTAGTGGACAAATCCGGAAACGGATGTAATCAGGTTTGATTCAATCCTTCCTAGTGGGAGCAAGCCAACTTTAAGGACAGGTTCTTTGCTTGCAGCACCAAGCAAAATGAGCCTCGTGGCGCAGTGGTTAGAACGCTGTACTGCAGCTAAAACTGTGCTCACGACCTGGGGTTCAAATCCCAGGTAGCCGGCTCAAGGTTGACTCAGCCTTCCATCCTTCCGAGGTCGGTAAAATGAGTACCCAGCTTGCTGGGGGGGGGCAATGTGTAGCCTGCATAATTAAATTGTAAACTGCCCGGAGACTGCTTGTAGCGCTTTGGGGCGGTATATAAGTCCAATAAATAAATGAATAAATAAATAAATAAATAAATAAATAAATAAATAAATAAATAAATAAAGCTAACAACGGCAGGTATACAAATTGTAAAAATGATCAAACAAATATAGAATCCAGAAATGGTTGAGATCTGGATAAAGTTTAAACCTCCCCTCCCCAACCATTTCTTATTTCAAAATAAACCATTATTTGCATGGTGAATGAAAGAAAAATAAGGAGGAAACCCTATATTGGCACCAATTTGCTTCTGTCCTTTTTGGAAAGAAACAAACTTCCTTTTTGGGGGGGGATATTTTCTGATTTTAAAAAAATGCTATTCTGATTGCATTGAACAAACAAGGGGGAAAAGGACATTTAATGAGATGTTAATATTCTGTCTCTTCATCGATTCACAACCTGTATATTTGTGAATTAATTACAAAAGCCTAATTGCACTTCAGTGGCTTCCTTCACGAAAAATCAAACCTTCAGCACTATAAATCACTTACATGATTTCCATCTTTTTGCAGGCAAGTCCAGCGGGAAAAATTTCTACTCTTTCATATTTTGCAAGACGGATGAATTGGGACGTCACTCTTAGGCACTTGCAGCCTAGATGCACCGGCTCAAAAATGTCTGTAGGGTTCCAGACAGGAGTGAGACACAGACAGAGTCAATATATTCCAAAGAATGGAATCACATGCAATCACATACAATAGGAGTACATGGTTCCCCATGTTACAACATTTGTGTTTTTCACCCCAATTTTGAAACAATTTTCTAGTGAGTTTTTTAAAATTGTTTTATTTAACCAACATAAAACTTACATATATAAAAAAGCATCTACTGTATATATATGTAAGTATGCATATATCTCTATCTAAAGACAATACATACTGTAAAGCTTAGCCTACAAGCATTCTTGTATAATAATACATTTCTTTCAGCAAGATCTTCTCCATATTATTCATTTTACTTTCTGTTTGTTACAAAGCTTTTATTTCCCATCATTCATAGAATAGGTTCCAGCTTTCATAATAAATTGGTTTTTCTTGCCCTTTTAGTCTCTTTGTTAGTCTGTTCATTTCTGCACACTCTAATTTTTTTTTTAATTATCAATTCAGCTTTTGGCGGGTCTCCCTCTTTCCATCCCTGTGCCCATGCTAATCTAGCTGCTGTCAGGACATGTGATATTATATAATAGCTTTGCTTGTTTATATTATTTGGTATTAATCCAAATAAGAGGATTTCTGGTTTAAATTGTATTTCTTGCTTAGTCCATGTATGAATTTTAATCCAATATTTCCTTGCAATATTACATGTCCACCATGTGTGGCAATAAGTTCCTTTCTGGTTTTTGCATTTCCAGCATTTAAATTTTCTAGTGAGTTTTGGGCCTGAAGAAAAGAAAGAAAAAAGAAAAAAGACCAGTTGAATTTCCAGCTGAAAGTTCAGAGGGAGGATAAAGATGCAAAGGGATTATGGTACAACCACTGTGTCCATGGGATCAATATCCACTGATTCACTTATCCAATCCATGAAAATATGAAAAATATTAAAAGAAAAATTCCCAGAAATATATATGTCTGAGTTATCAGAACTGAGCACTACAGGGAGCCAGAGAGCATGCTAGGTATAGCGTTCGCTACCATCTGCATTTTCAGCATTCACAGGAGGGCTTGGAACTGATCTGTAGATATAGGGGACCTACATACAATAACAACAAGAAAATTGTAGAGATGTATGTTGACTTTGTTCAACTAAGAAGATTTTG